GTTGGGTGGTAGCGAACATGTGAGGGAGATAAGGGGGTGGCGGGAAGGAAATCGGGAAGGATGGGGGCGCAGGCAAGATGGAAACAAGCAGAAAAAGGGAAAATATACACCATCTCGGGATGAGTTATAGTCGGAGCATCTTCTCACCGTCGAATACATCTCTAAAAGGGAAAAGGCGGGCACCAACGACTGTCCAAATAGAAATCTTAGCAAAAACTGTAGTCTTAGATCGTAGCATATTTATTTATAATAAGTAAAATAGCTGCCCCATTAGAAGACTGGTCGCTCTAGCCTCCCTGCTGGACCGGTCCTACTCTCAGCCCCTCTCTATAATTAATATATAATTCTCACTGTATTGTGAAAAATCTGAAAACTAGTATTTAATTCTTGAATCATAATATTTCTGATATCATCTTGAAAATTAGAAAGAAAAGATAGAAGAGTTGAAAATGGGATATTGTATGATTGAATTTTTAATTCCTTAGAAATAAGATGAGAAGCTATACATATATAACTAGAAAAATAACTATCAACGAAAGAAATAAATCTGAAAATCAGGTTTTAATTTTGCAATCTAGAGTCAACTACACAGTAGAAATGAAATCCTACCGTAAATTGCTTGTGTTATTGCTATTGATGAAAAATTTTTCATGGATTCTTGGATTCACTGTTCATGGAGAGCTGCCGTCCACAAATTGTTAGGCTGCTATAGATGAAAATGTGCTGACCATGAATTTAAAATTATTTCAGCATTTTCTATTTAATCGAGGTTGTTTGATTGCTTTAGAATAAATACAAGAAAACTATCTTTTCATCTGTGGTTAGTTATACGTTTCAATTTCTATACATGCCCTTATTGTACAGTTATTTTTTTCTTGTTATATGCGTTCTGCTGATATTTCATGTGTTCTGAATTTTTAATTCGTATAATACATGTAAATAGGTTAAACAAATTTTGGAACAAACTTACAAATTGTAATCGGATTGTTGGACTATTGTTGATGATAAGTTGCTATTCATGGATTGCTGGATTGCTGTACAAAGAGAGTTGCTGTTCACAAATTCGTAGGCTGCTTTAGATGAAATTTGTATTGTAGATCATGAATTCAAAATTATATCTAACTTATTGTATTTACTTTAGATTGTTTTGTTGTTTTAAACTAAATAAAAGGAACTATTTTCCCTGTATGGTTATAAGTTCCAAAGTTTATATTTGTAAAGTAATTATTTTCTTTTTCTAGTAATATTTGCTATGCTATTTTTCATTTGTCTTGCTTAATATATAAAAGTGTAGGTTTTGTGAGTGGAAAAATAACTATTCCTCTTCAAATTTCTAATGCTCGGTTACAAGATAAATATCAATGGAAGGCTACCACATTAGAAAAGCCGCAAAATCAGCCACAAAATCCCCATGCTATAAGAAGAAAGTAAGAATTATCAACATAATTTTAGAAGTAGAAACTACTAAAAATAGAAAATAAAAAATAGAAGATATCAAAAGCGGAAATTCCTAAAGTTCTGAACACTCCCCTCAAGTTGGAGCATAAATATCTATCATGCTCAGCTTGCTTACTAGAAACTCAAAATTAGGTCTGAAAAGTCTTTTGGTGAAGATATCTATTATTTGTTCGGAGTGGAAGACATGAAAATAGCGGCATAATCAAGATTCTCTTTTATGAAGTGTGGCTATCAATCTTCACATGTTTTCTGCGATCATGTTACTCTGGATTTTCTGCAATGCTGATTGCAACTTTATTGTCACAATACAACTTCATTGATATGTTTGTCAGATCCATAACTCTTCAAGAATTCTCTTAACTCTTAACATCTTGATGAATATGTTTTGAAAATCTTGTCTATAAAGATGAAAATCAAAAAATCTTTTTCTTAGATGAATATATTCAACATTGGTATGTGCGATATTTTGATAATCTTTTCAATGAATTTTTTGAAAATACGATCGACCTCAGTGATTTTAATATTTTTAATAATAATAAAACTATTTGTTTTTACCATCGTATTAGAAAAAAAGAACCTAGGGAGTAAAATAAATAGGACCTGATAGTATTCTAATAGAAGCGTGAAAATTTTTAGAAAGTTTAGGCTTTTCTTGATTTACTAAACATTTTACTATTATTTTTAGAACTAAAAAGATGTCTGAGGAGTGGAGAAAGAGTATTTTAGTCCCATTTTTATGATTAATGGGGATGCACTAGAGTGTGCAAATTATAGGGGAATTAAGTTAATGTGTTATACATTAAAATTATGGGAGAGTAAATGAAAATAAGTTAAGATGTGATGCAAAGATTTCTCATAATTAATTTGGATTTATGCTGGACAAGTCTACCATAGTAGCTATACATTTATTGGTGGAAAAGTACAAAGAGAGTAGGGAGGATCTACATATGATTTTTATCTATTTAGAAAAATGTTACAATAAGGTTTCAAGAGAATTTCTTTGGAGAGTTTTAGAAAATAAAGGTGTTGATATGACTTCTATTCAAGTCATCTATTCAAGTCATTAACTTCTATTCAAGTCATTAAAGATATGTATGCTAGAGCTGTTACTTGTGTTTGAATAGGAGGAGGACTGATCGAGTATTTTCTTATTTCAGTTGGGTTACATTAGGGGTCGGCTTTAGGATGTACCTTAGTGTATGCTTTTCATTGATGATATCTTTCTTGTGGACATGACTAGAGAAAGTTCAGGAAAAACTTGAATTATGGAGGTCTACATAAGAGTCTAAAGGCATTCATTTTAGTATATATAAAACTGAATACATGAAATGTAGTTTTAATAGTAATAGATCTAGTGGTAGAGTTGTAACGATAGGTGATCAAATCATTAAAATGTGTGAACGTTTTAGATATCTCGGATCTATTGTTCAAAGTGATAGTGACATAGATGGGGCATAGATGGGGATGTTATTAGTTATTAGTAGGATTCTAGTTGGATGGTTGAAGTGGAGGAATGCATCGGGGCTATTGTGCGATAGACAAAACACCGCTTAGACTTAAAAGAAAATTTTATAAGATGGTGGTAAAACCTACAATACTTTATGGTGCAGAATGTTGACCTTTAAAAGAGAAACATAAAACTAAGGGTGGCTGAAATGAGAATGCTTATGTGGACGAATGTATCCGTGAAAGGGTTGGTGCAGCTTGAGTGACTGATAAAATTAGAGAGAGTCTTTAGATAGCTTGGCCACATTAAACGTCGACCATCAGATGATCCGGTTATGAGAGTAGATGCTTTAGATCTGACTTATGTTAAGAAAGCTGGAGGTAAACCTAAAAGGTATTGGGCATGTTGTATAAAAATGCTATTAATTTATTAAAATTAAATGAAAATATTACATTCCATAGAACAAAACGAAGAAAAAGGATTCATGTAGCCGGCCCCACTTAGTGGGATATTGGCATTTTGATCTTTAATTATGATCATATTGAGTAGATATTGGCATTAATTTTGAGCTAGTATCACTACAAGTTTTCATTCTCCATTCATGTTCAGTGCTGCACGTCTCCATTGTTTATGATTGCAAAAAAATTCATAAAAATAAATTGGTACTAGCTTAACATGCTTAAAACTACCATTTAGAAAATTTGGTCTGTATTTCTTAATATTTTTGTGATAATAATTTAAATTGAACATTAATTGTAATAAAAAAAGAGCATATTTTGATATTTTTCATCTAATATGCTTTATCTGAGTTTCAAACGTTTTGTTTACTTGTATTGATAGTTAGTCTATCTTTAATTTCTTTTGTGGATAATATCTTTTTCTCATTCGTCTGTGAGGAGGAAATTCTTGGATTTTGCTGCAGGTCGTTATAACATTGGATTTTTTATGCGCAATGAAGTTTTTCTTGAAATAAATCCAAGTCAAAAGATGTTAATGCACATTTATATCTATCCTATAAAATTTTGTGACATGAATTGATAGAAATACCTATCCTGTTGAAGTTTTTACTATTTCATTAATTTTGGTTTTAAAGAATCACTTGGTAGGCCTAAATTGGATTGCATTGGCTTGAAGTTTGTTGCAGATCACAGTTACATTTTAAATGTAGTTAATGTTGGTTTTATTAAAATGAAACAATGAAAAAGTTTTCATTGTATTTTTTCAGTGTATTTTGGAAAGTGATGTTTTGATATAGATTGAAAACATGATGCTAGAGCAGAATTGGTAAATTTTCATTCTATTATCCATTAAATTGAATTAAAATGCTTACAAAACAGAAGGGAAAACAAAACGCTAACTGTGCTATTTTCATGCTGCGATCAAACTTTGGAATAAGTGAATTTGTTGGCCTTATGAATATTATAGACCTATTGAAGGCGTAAGTTGTGTGATCTTTCAGCTTCCTCGACTATTCTACTAAAATATTTGGGTATTCGTTGGCGATTTCTGTCAAAACATGGCAGAAACTTTGTCAGCTATGCATTGAAACTAATATATCTGGCATGTGTAATTTTTTGGGCTACCACTTAAATTGGGGTCTATTTTATTTTAATTTGTTGGCACTTTGAAATTAGCCTCAAGGTTAATGCGGTACTGGTAATATTTGAATTATATATTATCAATGTACTGTGCTGATCTATGCAACAGTGAATTATAGTGGATTGTGTGGAAGACTACCTCAGCATATGTCACATAAGTTATTCTAATAGGTCATTTACATACATAGCACATAATTCTTATATTTATGTATCTCACACCTAAACTTTTATATTTACAACTATTACTTAAATCTTTAATATCACAAAAACTAGCCCTATTACTGCTTTTTATAAGTAAAATACACCTCTTCATTTATAAGTTTAAAGCACCAAAATGCTATGTATGCAAATATGAAAGTTTAGAAGCGAGATATGTAAATACATAAGAATGATTGTGTGCTACATATGTAAATTTCCCAATTCTATTTACTTATGGTTTTTTTGCTGAATCTCAATTTCTTATTTTGGTTTGTATCTGTCGAAATGATTCCTTACAGGCAGAAACAGTCCTATGCTCAGAGTGCTTCAGCGATGCGAAATTTATCACCGGTCACTCGAGCTTAGATTTTGTAAGAATGGACTCTAAGAAAGATTTTACTGATGTAGACGGGGATAGTTGGACAGATCAGGAAACCTTATTGCTTCTTGAGGCTATAGAGAAATATAATGATAACTGGAATGAAATTGCCAAGCATGTTGGTACCAAATCAAAAGCACAATGCATTCTTCATTTTATTGGTCTCCCTATTGAGGATGGATTGCTTGAAAATATTGATGTTCCGAGAGTAGATGCTTCAGCTGTTTCATCCGAGATGCAGAATAATGGATTCTCCTGGTCAAATTCCCAGAGCAATGCGGCAACTTCAGGTGCTTTTGTTTTTGTAGCGGGTTCATTAAAGTTATTTATCTTTCTGTAGTACCAATTTTTCTTTCTTTTATATTTCTAATTTTATTGATTTGTTGTCAAGAACTTGATTCTGGAGATCAGCTTCCCTTTATTAGTTCTGCAAACCCTGTTATGTCCCTGGTGAGTAAACGTTCTGATCCTTTATTAATTAAATTTCTTTTATTGATGTTCCAAGGTGCAATGCTTTCTAGTAGTAGTACCATGCAAGTTATAGTTCGAAAAATAACATAGCTAGAAATCTAACGGAACCAATTGACAAGGTTCAAATAGAAAACCAATCCAACTGAATGAACTGATCTAATTGAATCTGATTGGGCTTTCCTTATTTAGCTAGAATTTGGAGAATATTTTTTTCAATTTTTATTTTTTTATTTGAAGTCTAGTTAAGGTTTTTTTTTTTTATGGGGAGACAATTAATATGTTGTATTTTCTGTTTTTGAGGACTTTTGCTTGACTTATGTTATATGGAGACTTTTTTCTCCTATTTGGAGAGTTGTAGCGTAATTTTCTTCAATTTATGAATCCATATCTTGAAGAGAACAGGTGGTGAAATCTCCTCATTGTCCGTAGCTTGCCGTTTGCCGTTCAACTTGCTGTTTTCCTGCTGTGAACTGCTCTGATATGCTGTCCAACAGCAGATTTCACTGTTCTTCTTCTGTTCCTAGTTCTACAACCCTCCTAACCCATTTCCTAACCTTCCCACTCCGGCTAGTTGCCCTAATACTCGTTCTACAACCTCTTGTACAATTGATTAGGGTTCAAACATGTTGGATGGTTTATTTTTAATTGAATAAATAAAAACTTGTGGGGCATGCATAAGTCCTTTTCTTTTACCTGCCAGGTAATTTTGAGTAGACTAGCTGACACTGACATATGGTAATAAGTGGTCAATTTAAGATGGGATAACTGAAAAGTTTTTTAATTTAAACTTTTTTCAGCCCCACCATGTGTCTTCTGTTGTGACCCACAGGCTTTGGGAAGCATGCCTCAGCTTGCATACACAACTTTTTGACATCAAGGTTTCCTTGCGACGTATCATCACCTAAAAAATTGATTTTTGAGATTGTTCTCTTCCTTTACACTAATTAATGTTTTGAATTTTAGGGAAGATGGAATATATATATAATGGTTCTTTTGCTTTTGTTTAGATTCCACTATGCTGTTATGCTTTGGATCATCGCCACTATTCTTCCTTCTGTTGCCTGAGCCTAGATTAAATGTTCATTATGTGCATGGACTGGTTACTTTTCTTGCATGATCTTTGCTTATTTTTTCCTCCACTTTAACGGTATTATTGTTTTGCATGCTTAAAACCTTAAACCCTAAACCTTAAAGTTGACCTTAATTATGTTTGTTGCATCAAAAATTCATCTTGCTGGCATTTTGATGATTTTTTATTGGATTCCTATTTATGCTGTAACATCAAATCTTATGTATATTTTATGGTAAGGGCCAGGATTATTAAAATAGCAATTGAGTATATAATATGTAATTTTAGTGTGTCTGAAATATATATATATATATATATATATATATATATATATTATTATATAAAAAAAAGAATATAGAGAGCTGAGAACACAACAAACTCTATTATAAAAAAATTAGGATGCAAATTAGAATATAATTTCAGGAGAATGTCTTCTTAAGACGGAGAAGTGTCTCAGGCATATCATGCATTAAGGGAATATCAAGGGGACTTACAAGAGAAGTCTATAGAATTGAAACTAGATGGGCAGCATTGTATGAATTTAAGGGTTGGAAATAAAGAAATTAGTGAAAGCTATACTCGGTGTTGCTGAAATACAAATGTTAAGATAGCTCATGACAAAAGTAGAAAACTATTAATTTAGAAGCAATTATATGAGGTATTGTAGAAGCAACAACCATCGAACATGAGATGGTGGAAAATTGGTCCAGGTGATTTGGTATGATGGAGGCAGTGCACCGATAAGACGAATTGGTAATATTATTGAGGAAGGATTAGGAAGGAAAATACGTATTTGAAGAAGGCCTTTTGGGTAGAAATTGTCAAAACTATTTACAAAAGGGGTTTAATGCGTGAATCAAAACTCCGTAGGAATAAAAGGAATATGAGGATTCATAAAGCTTATCTGAAGTAGTTGAGATACAATTAGTGATGTTGATTGCCAGCTCACGAGTATTTTGGCTAAATAAAAAAAAGGGAAAAAAAAAGAAAAAAAAAGGTAATGTGCTTGATACTGGAGTTAACCAAACAACAATCGAAAAATCAAATATTATTGTTGAATTCAAATATGGGATTACAACCAAATAAACGGAAATATGAAATAACATCAACTCAACACACAAACTCACACTAGGGTTTGATCTAGGGTTGGTGGCAATCAGCTAGGTGGATTAGAAAGGGCGGTAGGTGGCTGATATGGTTGGAAAAAATTGGCACGACAGCGGTGGATTGCTGTCCTGGGAACAAGGGGAAAAATGTTGGATTGCATGGGAAAAAACAGCGGCAAAACTGCAAGATTGGATGGGACTAGCGGCTGGAAAGGCTGGGACAGCAAGGAGACAGCAAGCTGGGCTGAGAGACATTGTCGGGAAGGCTGGGACTTCAAGGAGCAGCAAGCTAGGCTGGAAGAACAGGAAACTGCAGGTAGAGACAGCTAAACAGCAATTCTGGGCGGCGTCAGCGAGCGTGAATGACGGAGGCAGCGAAGGTGAATGCGGTGGATGGAAGGACAGCAAAAGGGGTGCTGTCCGGTGCGGGAGTAGCGGGACAGGCCGCTGGAAAGTGGGAAACCGCAGAAAAAACAGCCAAGGGCTGCTGTGCAGTGTCTGTTGCAGCACGGGAGGGCGATAGTGAGTGATGTGGGAAGGATGAGGAAGAGTATTGGCGACGACAATCACCACCTCGGGAGAGAGATATAGTCAGAGCACCACTCGACCTTGGATACAACTTTAGATGGGTAAATTGGAGATGTTTGCGGTTGTCGCAAACAAATATACGCAAAAAAAATACCTAAAAACTTGATAAAAATAAATAAACCTTGGCTAACTAACGCGTGAACCCCACTCTTCATAGGTGGAAAATCTCTGCTTGGATGGACCGGTCGGTCCCTCCTCTGCCTGAACCGAATCAATCCAAAATGGGAGACGTGTCAATTGTTGCTAGGGCTGTTAACTATCCGATCTCGAGCTCAGAAGGGGCGCTCTAATAGATTTAGGCAGCTGCAGTTTATCCAGCTTATGCTAATAAACAGCTTATCCTGATAATCTGCTGATGACCATCTGATCCGGATAAGCTGACTGGTTGTTTGGTTAGTGCGTTTTGAGAACAATTGATTCTGGATAAATGATCAATCTACTCATGTTCTGGATAAGCTGTTTAGCTGATTGGTTCTTGCGCTTTGTAAACAACTTATTTGCAAATTTTTTTATAAATTTACCAAATTTCTTAATGCAATTATAAAGGGGAGATAAATGTGAATATTGAAGAACATGAAAATACAAAATATTCCGAAAATTAAATTTCAAATGTTAAGACATGAAAATACAAAATATTTATATCACTAAAATATTTCATATCACATCACAGAGACACAGTTACCTAAACAAAAGTGAAATACATCTTAACATACTAATATGAACTGTAATGAGACCCAAAAAAGAAGAAAAAATAATATGTCAAAATTACAAAGAAAAAAATTATAATTTTGACTTTAAATTGTAGCAACATATCACGGTCCATTCAACCCAGCTCTGACACTCCAGAACCCTGAGTGAATCTGTCCGACTGTGATACCGTAGAAATGGAAGCACTCGAATCAGAAGTGGTGTTCTTAAATTTGGATACCGACGAACTCTAAGCAGCAGTGTAAAGTTGAGATAGCATAGAAATGGACCTACTGTCGGCCCATCTGAAGAAAGTGCAGTCCTCCTGTTCTTGTGCCCATCGCGAGCACCTGTAAAATTGCCTCCCGTAGCTATGTGGCTGGCGTGATGTGAGTAGTAAAGTCGGGTAGCCCACACTGACATATCACCTGTCCGGACATCCCTGAATATCTGGAATTCATCTTCCTGAGTTATTAAAAGAACAATATATTAGTTAAAAAATTGAGAAAATATAAAAAATATACTTACCGAAATATGGAGGTAACGATTGCCAAAAACAAATTTGTGTGGCCATCGAAATAGCTCCACAATAATCTCGATAAAATCAGTACAATTTAGAAGTAAAAAATATTTTTTTATTGTAGATAAAGTCATATAGTAGCATTTGCTCCATAAATTCAAATGTGAAAGCAGATCATTTTAAGCCAAAAATAGGATGTTTCAATCAAATTAAAAAGATTTTCACTTGGAATAGAATATGAGAATTATAAACCAGAAAGGATGTGTACAAAAAATTTTCCTGTGTAATGCCAACAGGAAAACATAGGATAACTGAACCACTGAAACCATAGGCTACTTTGTAATGCCAACAGACGTAATGCCAACAAGATCCCAGTGGTAATGGCTGCACTGGTTACCTAAGAATAACTAGGCCATCCAAAGATGTCGCATCATCACCATTGGGATTTATTTACATACATCCCAATTACTATGTAATGCCAACATAGTAATTGATGCCATAGGCTACTTTGTAATGCCAACAAGATCCCAGTGGTAATGGCTGCACTGGTTACCTAAGAATAACTAGGCCATCCAAAGATGTTGCATCATCACCATTGGGATTTATTTACATACATCCAAATTACTATGTAATGCCAACAGAGTAATTGAGACTATAAGCTACTTTGTTTCTGAAAAAAACTAATTTCATAAATCCAAATATCCATACAATAAAGTAGCAGGTACTTTGAAGCAACCAAATGAAGCTGTAGGTAATTCGAAGGGAAGAAGAGCATGTCTCAACTTTCAGGTATAAAACAGTAAACAACCCAACATATTGCTATAGACCTACAACTTTCCCCAATAACAGTAATAGCTTTCATTCATATATCTAATAGCATTCATTCATAATGAGAAACCTGCAGCTCATGAAATATGAAATGAGAACCCTGCAGGCTCATAATCAAACTGTAGTGGATTGAACATCTATGTGGATTTGGCTTGGACCTTGTCCTGAGTCACCTATGTGC